AGCAGGAGCGTTTCTGATATGTTTTGAATTTTGAATTGGATATGACATTTTATCTGAAGTTGAATTTTATTTCTATAGCCTTAGTAATATGACATGACCCCACAGGTCTAGGTGTTCACACAAACCATTTCTTCAAATGTGGATCAAGCAAACTGCTTATATAATAATGAGGCAACAGTTTTATATGATAATCTTAATGTTTATCATACAAAACAATTACCTTTACATTATACTGCTACATTATAGTTGTAATAATATAAAGGCAATTTTTTATATGATAAACAACATAGTTGTTCACATAATAATGTTTTTTTAAGATAATGTTTTTTTTTAAATTATTACTATTAAATTTTATTAGTTTCAATGAACATTCACAGGGATTCTGGGCTTTCACTCCTTCATTGCCGCACCATTCTCTCCACCCTCCTCCCCAGTTTGTTCTTCTTCCCCGCCATCCGAATGTCTGTTTTAATTGTCCAATTGCCACAGTGCTTGTCAAAGTCAGTTCTGATTAATCTCCAAGATAATGGTTTTTAAAACGTGAATAAGGTAATTATTGATATAAAAATTGTTTATATAAATCATAATCCTAATTCTTTATTGTAGACTCACTATAGACCAGACACTAAATCTTTACAACCCTGATGTGGTGTGAAGTAGGGTCATGGAGTAAAATGTGTTTCCCCCAAATATGTGTCAGCCTGGCTAGGCTATGATTCTCAGTATAATGTAATTCTCCTACGTGTTGTAAATCTTAACCTCTGTGATGTTCATGAGGCAGGATTAGAGTTATGTCATGGTACTAGGGATATTGTAGCTAATGTTAGATGGATCTTAGCTGAAAGCCGGGAATACCAGAGGAATGTATATCTGTGTTTCATTGACTATGCAAAGGCATTTGACTGTGTGGATCATAACAAACTGTGACTGATTCTGAGAAGAATGGGAATACCAGAACACTTGATCAAGCTAATGAGAAACCTATACTTGGACCAAGAGGCAGTCGTCAGAACAGAGCAGGGTAACACTGCATAGTTCAAAATTGGGAAGGGTGTACGCCAGGGATATGTCCTGTCTCCATAACTTTTCAACATGTATGCATAACAGATTATCCGGGAGGCTGGGCTCTATGAGGAGAAATGTGGGGTCAAGACTGGTTGAAGATCTATCAACAATCTGTGATATGCAGATGATACAACCCTGCTTGCTGAAAATGAAGAGGACCTCAAGCACCTGCTGCAAAGGGTCAAGGACTGCAGCCTACAATATGGATTGAAGCTCAATGTCAAGAAGACAAAGATTCTCACCACTGGACCAATTGGCAGCATCAGGATGGACGGTGAAGAGATTGAGATTGTTCACAGCTTTAGTTTGCTTGGCTCCACAGTCAACACTCTTGGCACCAGCAGCCAGGAAATTAGAAGACGTATTGCCATGGGAAAGTCTGCTGTTAGGGACCTCTCCAAAGTACTGAAGAGCAATGGTGTCTCTCTGGAGACTAAGGTGTGTCTGATACAGGCCATGGTCTTTGGTATCACTTGTTATGCATCAGAGAGTTGGACAATGACTAAGGAGGATAGAAGGAGAATCGATGCCTTTGAGCTGTGGTGCTGGAGAAGATGTATTGAGGGTACCATGGACTGCTAGGAAAACAAACAGATTCATCCTGGAAAGGGTCAAACCGGGTGGCTCCATGGAGGCAAGGATTCTGAGGCTCCGTCTACCATACTTTGGATATGTTGTAAGGAGGGACCGGTCCTTGGAGAAGGACATCATGCTTGGGAGGGTGGAGGGACAGCGCAGGAGGGGAAGGCCCTCTATGAGGTGGATTGATTCAATGACTGGGGTAATAATCAGGGTGGGTGTGTCGGAGGCAGTGCAACTGGCACAGGACAGAGTTTGGGGCTGTTGTACATAGGGTCACTATGAGTCACAAGCGACTCGATGGCACATAACAACAACAACAACTACCCCTCATGATGTGATCAGCCAGCCATTAGGGTAGATTAGAGTAGGATGCAACACCCTTCATTAGATCGCAGTCCTGATGTGAGGAAAGGAGCGTTTGTTTGGCGTGTGGCCTGCATCACCTTTTAGCCCAAAAGAGACACAAGGAGAATGAAAGCATGCAGTGAGAGGGACTTCCGTACCACCAAGACCGAAGACCCAGGAATGGAATATATCTTTTGGCCCCAGGTCCCTGTGCTGGGAAACTAGACACAGGGCAAGGCCAAGACATATGAAGATAGCCATGGAATTCCCGGCCTACAGACACTGATGGAAACAAAGACATTTTCCCAGAATCAGCCGAGAGAAAGCTCACTCCTAAAGCCAGCACTGTAGCCTCAAGAAATTGAGAGACTCAATTTCAGTTTGTTAAAGTTATCCACTGACTGTGTGTCTGATATAGCAACACTAGATAACTTAGACAGGTATGTACTGTTTCCCCCAGATTTGTTTAGTTGTAAGGAAACAGAAGCTCTCACTGTGTCCGTGTAAACTGCCTTAAGGCACAGGCAGGAAGCGACTCTGAGCTGCATTGTGGCGTAAGAGGTGCTCAGCAGATATGAGCCATTGTGGTGAGAAGCTAAGCCACATGTAGCCGATGCCAGAGGCTCACACAGTTCTGCTGGATGTGCCAAGAGGCCTTGGGCAACTGCTCTGTCTTCTCATTATGTAAAAATGATGCCATTTTAACCCCAAATTAAAAAAAGAAACCCACCCAAACCTTGTATATAACGTGAACATAGATATTAATCTGATTTTCTCTGAAAAAGAATTTAACTTTTCATCTAACAAGCAACTGGGTAATACAGAAACATCAAAACTGGAAATGTCACAGGGCTCGGGAGGGAGATGAAACCACCTTTGTAGAATAATTCTTCTAGTAATTAGCTGGGAAAATCTGACTACCATTGCTTAGAAAAAGAACAGAATAGCAAGAATTCAGGATCCTGGAAGAATGGAAGAACCATAAATAGCACTGAGAATTTGTATGGTAAAATAGCTCCTTTACTACATTTTTATAGTGAATGAACAGGATTGTAAGAGAAGATATGGGCTGCAATTTGATTATATGATGTAATGCAACATACTCTAACAACTCTGGACTAATTCTATTAAAGCAGGTGGGGACTAAAATGACAGAAATAAGAGAGAGTTTGTCACATAGGCAGATAAAATAAGGTGGAAGTTGGTGTCTTAAAATGTTATTGAATGTATTTTAATAAGGAATACTTGATCAATGGACAAGAGTCCCTTGCTTTCATAGGGATCCGTAAAAGGAGGCTTTCCCCAAGTTCCTTAGAGGATGGATCAAAGCCTTCCTTCCATAGCACTGGTGACAGAGGTGCTTTAGTGTAGCTAATAACCCCAGCTTCCTGCTGGTGCCACAGCGGGGACTTGAGGGGGAAGCCACCTATCAGCGTGAGTGGGCTGTTGTGAAACCCTATTTGTAGTTGTCAAGGTGGAAGGCTTAGCATCGCCTTCTAACACAGGAAAACACTGAGACGATCAACTGAAGAACTACACAACGGCAAGTTATTTAAAATGGACCACAAGACCAATGTATTACAAAAAGGAATATTTATCTTTTAAAAATACAACTTTGAACACTACTGACGTCTCATTTACAAGGTATTTTCTTGAAATACTCCCCACTGGTTTTGCTCACTTAGTACATTCTCTTATTCTGAAGGGACACAAGGGCGGGCAAGCTTTCATTAGTATAAGCACGGCCACCAAAACAATGAAATCATGATGGGTTGGGGGAAGACCAACTCTGCCTTGGGCTCTGACCTCCAAAGCCCTTTCTTTTCCACCACGCAGAGTTTGCTGTCTGGTCCGCTCACTCTTCCATTGCATCTGCCGACCCAACTGGAGGCATCCTGGCAACCAGTACTCTAGGTGGAACTGACCTATTTGCAGGAGGCCTCACACATCCGGGCCCATTATTTATTAATTACGAAGTGTTTTCCACTAATACTCATCTTAACTCTTTGCAAACATTCAGCATGAAGTAAATACAGCATTTAGTACATGGTTTGCAATTCAACACACTGACGACAAAAGAAAGGAGGACCAACAGACTTAGCAAGTTGGTCCAAAGGGAAAGTATATGAAAGTAAATCACTTTGACTACTCTCTCTCTGTGTGTGTGTGTGTGAGAGAGAGAGAGAGAGAGACAGAGAGAGAGCGCACGCAAGAGAGAAACCACGCGTGAGAGAGAGCACATGAGAGAGAGAATTCACAGAAAACAAAGCATGCCCTCCTTTCAAAGCAGACTATTTACAAAGCAATTCTGAACAGCACGGACACATGCCAGGTATACAGGATATACTCACCTTCTGCGAATACATCTAGCTTTTTAAAAAAATTCTGAAATAGACATTTTTATCTGCTGTATTAGATAGAGAAAATAACTTTGGAGCATTTGTCAACATTTTGGTTCATAGTAATTTAACACACACACAAAAAGCGCCACAAACCATGCTCTGTCTTTTAAAAGCTGAACATGGTCAAAGACCTTCTAGAAGACACCAATGTGTTATTCCCTTCCTGGGATCTGGTGCTCCCTCTCGTCAGCAGCAGTCGTAATGTGAAGAGAAGTTTCGAAACACCAATCACATCATCAAAACATTTCACTTAGCAGTGTTCAAAAGATAGCGAAACCTACAACAGCAGTACAGACACTGAAAACACACCACTCTTTAGCCTCAGGACCTTTTCAATGCTACTAATAGAAAAGGACAACTAACTGACAAAAAGGGGGAGGGAGTTACAGCACTTGAGGTTTGAGTCAGTTTCTTCTGTAGGGGCCTGTGGCTGGAGCTGCTGTTTGAGAATCCTTCTTTTAACTCAAAAGAGATCTCAGGAATGACTTGAGAAAGTTAACAGTGACTTCTACCCGAAGACCACTGACCACTGCAAATACAAATCATGGTCTAAGCTTGTCCAACACACATTTATTTTCCGGTTCCCAAGTTGTGAAGTGAAGAGATTCAGGTCAGCTTCAAGCCCTCGAAGCCACAGAACTTCCACCTCTTCTCCAGGCTGGCTCCAACTCCAGTCATTTCTTGCTTGAAGGTGTGCTGGAGTCGACTCATGAGACCTTCCACATCAGTGGTGCAGATCTGTGGGCCAGAGGAAGGACATCTCCATTCAAGACCAGTCTGTTTTTCTAATTTGCTGCTGCTTTCCCCACACAGAATACGGATCTCTCTCTCTCTCTTTCTGTGTGTGTATGTGTGTGGTGGCCAGTAGGTGAGCCTCTTCCTCTGTGGCATTCATGTGTACATGTTGGGAGAGTGGCTTTCAGACAGCAGTACCCCTCTGCTGTGACAACCACAGGTCTGGTGTCAGTCACATGGAGAGGCTGGATTGTGCAGTCAGCTGACACAGGTGGCTGGCCAGTGCTGTGTGCAGGCCCAGGGAAGTGGGAAAGCCTTGGGGGCAGGAAGAAGCCAGCCATGGCTGCAATTAGAGTGCAATTCTTCCCGCATTAAATTTACAAAAGAAAAATGGCAGAAGTGGGATCAGCCTATAGTCTGACTCTGTATTATGGCTTGCTCCTCCTTCTACCCCTTCGTCAACACGAATCCCCCAATAGAGACAAACTGCAGAGCCCTTTAGGGCTCGTTTCAGGTAGTCATCTTTACCTCAAGAGGACCCTTCTTAACTGAGGAGCTCCGGGAGGTCCCTAAAGAACCAGAGGAGGTGTCATACTGAAGAGTCCTGAAGTTGGAGGGAAGGGCACCCTGATTCTGCTGGTCCCACTGCAGGATACTTCTGGAAGGTTCTAGAACTCCTTGCGCCTGTGCTTGGAGGGAAGTTATGCCTTCTCCCCAGTGCTGGAAGGACTGGGGCCAGCAGCTAAGGAAAGGCAACATACTGGAGACTCTCAGAGAGAGTAGAAGGTCCACTGCAAAATCATAAAGATAGCATGTGTATCTCTCTCTCTCATCTCTCTCTCTCTCTCTCTCTCAATGTGCATGTACACACACTGATATGGGTGCAGCAGATGTGTAGGAAAGGCTCTGAAATGAAATATGCTGAACTGTTAGCACTGGCTGTGTCAGGGAGCTGTGACTGAAGAGGGACTCTGCCAAATTCCTGTACTGCTGGCATACTACGCAGCATACAGGAACAATGACTTTCACTACCTAACTTGGGAGGGACTGCAGAGTATTATGCCAAGTGATCGAACTCAGTCCCATAAGGGCAAATACTGTTAAGACCATTGTTACAGAACGAGTATAAGGATCCAACGGTGGGGGGGAGTAGAGGGGTGAGAATGAGGGGGTGGCTAATCATAGGGTCTCACAATTTGCTAAGTGGAGGCGGGGTGAAGGAACTGGGAAAGATCTAGTGTGAAAAACAATGTATACGAACTTTGTAAATAAACAAGCATAAAAAAATTTAAAAACACCCCAATATGTATGCATTCTTTTTGCAGTTACAAAAAAAAAAATAGATCTCTTCTCTCCCACACACAGTGATGTTCAATGTCCTACCACTCCAATATTCCCATCGCATTCATAATTCACAGCTAAATGAGACTAACTCACAGCTGACTCTCTATTAGGTTTCCAAAGCTGGAATTCACTCAAAAGGAGATTGCTTCTCTTTCTCCCTGGTGGATTTGAACCTCCAGAGAAGCCTGGCCTATAGGTTAGCAGTGCCACTCCCTATGGACTGCACCACCCGAGTTCCCTTCCAAGTGAGCTACTTAACTGCCAAAGAGCACCACGTCCCAGAGTTGACTCAGGGGGATTCATTCAAGGCCCATGCCATGGATCCTAGATGTCAAAGCAAAGATCATCCAGGAGGATGTATCAGCGTAGCTGGAAGCGCAAAGAAGATAGGGCACTAATGCCTAAATGGGCTCACATCCTGGACATCCACCTAGCAGAAATCTCTGTTTCCATGGTGCTTCTCAAAGGGTCCAGGTCCTGGGAAGTGCTGAGTATGATCCTTGGGTAGGTTTGGCTAACTGAATGAGTCCACGAGAAGCGAAGCCTCAGCTGTGAGCCAATATTCTGCTTGCATTACACAGGCTCCAGCTCGTTTTTCCATCTTTTTTTTCGCCCCTGCCCTGATTATTTCATAGCAGATAATGGCAGTGATGATGATACTGAAGGGGTGATGATTGAAACAAGGCTTTTAATTGTGAAAACTAACATTTGGTAATGGCTAAGGGCCCAGGATAAAAGTATGCCAGAAGGCTGATGCTAGTTAATTTATAGCTTCTATGTAAATTTAGAGGTACCAGGAAAATAGAGGAAGGAGCCCTGGAGGCATAGTGTATCGTGTGCTGGACTGCTAAACTAGAGGTCAGTGGTTCCGAACTGTGTAGGAGGAAGATGAGTCAGCCTGCTCCCATCAAGATGTGTAACTCTGGAAACCAACTGGGGTTGCCAAGTCAGTGGCAGTGGGTCTGGTTTGGGTTTATGGACAGCAGGGTAGACAACTCTTCCTAGTTGGTCCAAGGCTTCCTAAATTTTTGCAGAGAAAGTCCCAAGTCCCAGGAAACCCTTCAGTCTCTCGATGCTCACCCTACTTGCAAACAAGAAGCTGTAAGATAAATTCCAGGAAGAGCAGGCAAGGGGGTTTGCCTTAGAGCAAGAATTAATAAATGACTTATTGTGCTTGAACAGAATTGCTTGTTTGCAAAGAACCCTATGGCCCCTTGCAACCCCCGACACAAGCCTCCACATACCTTATTATCAAGACGGTGCAAGTAGGAACAGATGTATTCGATGCTTGCTCCAAATGGATGAACATGGAGGAATGTGGAGATAATCCCTATAGACAAAATATCGCAAAAGTTAGACGTGAATATCACATTCCTGGAGACTCCACCTGCTAGTGACTAGGACCTTAGTGTGTGATGTGGGCACTGTCCCAAGTTTACATATTTTACTCCTTTGATCACTACGCTCCCTTGAGGTGAGTATCGCCATTACAATTTCACAGATGAGAGAGGAATGTTTCACAGTGGGGTACGGAACATCTGTGCAACTTGCCCAAGCTCACACAGCTGGTAAGTGGCAGAGCTGGAGCTGGAGCTGCACTGCCAACATGAAGGTGCATGGTTTGAATCTACCAGTTGCATCGTGGGAGAAAAACGGGCAGTCAACTGCGATGTGATTTACTGCCTCTGAAAACCTGCTGGAGATAATCTCGACGGTCCCCAACAGCAACATGCTGCATATAGTACAGTTGGAATCTGAGGAGTCACTGGCCCCCTTTCTGTTGACTGAAGGAAATTTAGGGAGGGGAGCTCTGGTGGAGTAGTTGTATGGAGTTGCACTTCTAACCCAGAACGAGTCCAGTGGTTTGAATCCACCAGCAGCAACACAGAAAAGGTTTTGGAAACTTGATGGAAGGTCAGTTAGACAATGGGACTGACTGACTCCACAGCAGTGAGCTTGAGCTTTGAAGGACCACTTGAGTTCTAAAATGTTAAGAGTTTTAGATTGTGCTGGGATTCGGCCATTTTGTGGCATGGTCTTTAAATGAGATGCTAGTGTCTTAGGTGTTAATGTCTTAGCATTGGAGCAAACATACACATCATGGGTTTTGCCTGACTAAACCAGTGCCTCTCACAAGAGACTTTGATGGAGGAGCATAATTGGGTATAGCTCTGTGAAGAAAAAGCCAAATGTTCGTAGCTGCCTCAAGTGATTAGGAGCATTTTGGGTTGAAAGTTCCAGTCTCTTTAAGGGACAGACTTCTTGTAGAAGCTCACAGGCTCCAGGAACGCACGTTACTTCTACTCTGAGCACACTGCCTTGATTGTTCTGGCCTTTGAGTTAATGGTTTTAGTACCTCCTCTGTCTACACCTGGGAAAGAAATTGTTCTGACACAAGTCTCCACTTGCTTTCTTTACATCTTTTTTTTTTTAATTTCCCCCCCTTACATGAGCTCTTAGGTATATCAAATAGACCCACAATTGAATTGGAAAAGTGCCAGGAAATAACGGTTACATTTGATTTTGTTTCTAAACTATAACCTGTCTGTCCCTTTAAGAGGCTGACAAAGAAAGGCACACGTTTAAATTGCAGCTTGAAGTTGGCATCAGTTCTTTTGAAACATCTTCCAAACATGGGGGAGTAGGGGTGGGGAGTTGACAGTGAGAGGAGGTCAAAAGAGGAAGCCATGCTGGGGTTCAAAAGCCGGTCACAATGGATCCTATTACTGCTGCTACTGTTACTTATGTTGTTATGTGTCATCTAGTCAGAACTCATAGCCGGACCTTCAGCAGGTTCTCAGAGGCTGTAAATCATCTTTTTTCCTGCAGATCAGCTGGTGAATTTGAACTGTGTGCCTTTGTGTTTGTAATGCAAATTCTTACCCACTAGGTCACCAGAGTTCCCTAGTTGTTGTTATGTGCCATTGAGTCAAATGTGACTCATAGTGACCCCTATACACTGTAGCTCTGAAGCCTGCCCTAGCCTCAGCCAATGTCACTGTCGCACCTACCTTTATTACCCAGTTACTGTGTCAATCCATCTCATAAAGCACTACTTTATTCTTAGATGACTAGTTAATGGAATTGACCCATAGCTGATCGTCTGATGAGTGTTCACAGGCAGTTTATTGTACAGAAGGAGACTTCCGATCCTTCTCCCACAGAACACCTGGTGGCCTCGAACCATGTACCTTCAGGATTGCAATGCAGCATCTTGCCACTAGGCCACCAGACTGTCCCTAATTCCAAGAGCCCTGGTGGTGCAGTAGCTAAAGCACCCAGCTGTTAATGAAAATATCAGTAGTTTGAACTGACCAGCCGCTCCGTGGAAAAAGGATGAGGCAGTCTGCTTCTGTAAAGATTTACAGCCTTGGAAATGCTATCAGGTGATTCTAGTCTGTCTGTCCTTCACGGTCATTATGAATCAGAATTTACTTGATGGCAGTGGTTGTTGCTGGGTTGGTGTGTGGTTTTTTTTTGTTTGCTTGCTTGTTTTTTTTTTTGTTTGTTTGTTTTATTTTTTAAGACTACTTCTAACTGGCATACTTAAATGCTGAAGAAGGCAGGTCATACTCTAAGGAATTATAGATGCTGCGACCACGAAAAGCTCTCAGCTGCCTAGAAAACCCCCTACAGGGTTAAAAACACTGAGACATTTTTATGGGTTCATGTTTAAAGAACCTATTTTTAAAAAAATATTTTCTTTTCTATCATCCCAAGATAACTTTCTTTAGGAAACAAAAGAAAAGGCCCTTTTCAAGGATCTCTTCTAGAACTATTAACAGAGGCTTCTTTCCATCTCTAGTTCTTCTCTGACAGGCCTCCCTGTTGGCATGCCAATTTGTTAAAGAACTCTGAGTGGGGAAACGGAAATAAGCTGTCACTTTTCCGTAAGACTCGGTGGCAGAACCCCCTGTGTATCGCTATTAACATATCAGAGTTAAATCTAATGGTCGCTACCAAAGAAGGGAGATCTATTTAAACAATATGCAGAACCCAGTTAGAGGGTTGGAGTCTGGGGTTGGAGCTACATGGGGCCCAGCTTCCTGGAATGCAACAGGGATTATCTGCTGAGGCCCAACCAGCCCCTTTCAATGACAGATTATTTTAGGGCTGCGATCTGCCATTGTTCCCCAAATGGAATACAAAATCAACTGCATTGTGAATATTGCTTTAAGAGGAAAATGGCTCCTGTTACTGGGGACTTACTATGGGGCCAGGCACTATGCTAAATGCTTTATATGAATGACTGTATTTACTACACTCACTGTATTTACTACAGCTACCCTTTTGAGTATTATTACTTTGCCCATTTTGCAGGAGAAAATGAATGCCAGAGAGGAAATGGGTCAAGGTGGGAGTAAGGTTGCTTTGATTTGTTTAACCATGTGTATTATCCTATCTCTCCAGATGGATTTTTTGGAAAAATTGACTTTCCATTGTGATTTAACTGAAAATTTACGAAGCAAATTGGTTTTTCATTCCACCATTCATCTTGTTTTATAACATTAATCATAATACTCACAAATGTAATCACACTTCTCTACTTCCTCCCTGTAATTTAAACTTGTACGAATCCTCCCCCTTCCTGCCTTCAGGGCTTTATCCCTGGACAAAGGCTGCTCTTTTGATCACGTAAAAAATGAGCACTGTCCAGTCAGAACCGGCACACAGCGGACCCTACTGTGAGTTTTCAGAGGCTGTGAATCACCCGGGAGGTGACTGCCCACCTTTCCCCTGTGGAGTTGCTGGTGGATTTAAACCACTAGAGAAGCGTGGTCTTTCAGTGAGCAGGGCCGCTCTCTACCGACGACATCACCAGAGCACGGGGGACTATTTTAAGGAGTGAGCGGATTTTTAAAATACAATTTTATTTATTTTGTTGTTGCTGAGAATACCCACAGCAAATATAATTTAGCGGTTTGTACACACACTGACTGCATTTTGTGAGCTGTGCAGCCATTCTTGCCCTCCTTTGCAAGTTGCTCCTTCCCCACAAACACCCTCACTGCCCCTAGGCTTTCTATTTGTCTAATCTTTCAGGCTGTTATCTCTTTGATCCCATATGTTGTTGTTATGTGCCATCAGGCAGGAAATGACTCCTTGTTGACCTTTAGTGGGTTTTCAGAGGCTGGAAATCACACGGGAGGAGACTGTCCTTTTTCTTCACAAATCATCTGGTGGGTTTGAACCATGTGCGTTTGGGTTGGCGCTGCAACTCCTTATCTCCAGCCACCAGAGCTCAATCTTCAAAGATCATCATGCCGGAGGGAAATGTTTTTTCCTTGAAGAAGGACTTTATGCTTCAAAGGTGGGAGGACAGCAAAGGAGAGGAAGCCCCTCAACCAGGTGGATTGACACGGTGGCGGCGGAAATGGGCTCGAGTGTGTCACAGATTGTGAGGATGGCACCGGACAGGACAGGGTTCAGATCTGCTCTTCACAGGGTCACTGTGAGTCATACTAGACTCAATGGTACCTAATAACAACTATGTGGTTTTAAGAAGACATTGGGGCATATTTTGGCATCAAGGTTCAAATGAGTGAGTTTTTCATAAAGTCAGAGCTATTCCAGCATCTCCCTCACCAGAGTCTACCAGTGTCCAATGCACCAGAGTCATCTGCCAACAACCTGGAAAAACTTGGGGAAAAACATGCTGCATCCAGAAGCTTCCTGTCTGCACTGGCCCTTTAAGTGGCAGTTAGGGCTAAACTAGGGCTATATTGTTGTTGTATGCACAACAGCCCTAAACCCTGCTCTATCCTGCGCCAACCGCACTGCCTCTGATACACCCATCCTGATTACCCCAGTCACTGAATCAATCCACCTCATAGAGGGTCTTCCCCTCCTGCGCTGTCCCTCTACCCTACCAAGCATGATAGAGTTTTTTAAAAAAGTCTACAAAGTGATTCTCCAGCTGGCCCCCTTCTTAGCACCATGCTTGTAATGACACGCTTGGTGTGGCGGTGGCCACAGGGAGCCTAAGGAGGTTGGGTCAGGGCTGGGAGCTGCTGCTACTGTTTTTTTAAAGTGAAATCTCTACCTATTCTTCCTGGGCTGTCCTCAAGACTCTGAGCCCGTGGGCTGGCAGGCGCCATATAAGCTTTGCATGTCTTAGTGATCGTAGGTAATCCCACCCCGTTCTAGTGACCCCCTCCATATTTCTCCTTACCCACAAGCAGCGCTTCCCGTTCTGACTTGACAGGACTGCCGTTCAGCGTCTTCTCCAGAGGATGGTCACTCTCCTGGCTCGATGTGCACAGTCTAGAAGTGCAGCTTTCCTATGGAGAGGATGCACTGTCTGAGTCAGTTCACCTTAGCTGCTCACATCCTTGGCTTAAATTCACTACCCAACAGGCAACTTCTTAGCACAGGACTGGGAAAGCAGTCCTGTCCAACTTTGATGGTTAAGAGGGAGGGAAATAGCATACATTACAAGTGTTGCAGACAATCCAAAGCTTATCTGACTTGGAGATACAGACACATCTAGAACTTCACAAGTTCCCCTCTTCTCTGCCCTCTGTCCGTTTTTTCCCTGACTTTATGGAAGCATTTTTGGGGACGAGACCTAAAGCTTCTTATCTACTAGGCACCAGGCCTGCTAGACATATATTATTCTGTTCTCCAGATGAGGAAATGGAGGCTCAGATAATTACCTAAGATCCCACTGCCAAGGAGTGCTGGAGTCAAAATTTCATCTGGCTAAAAGGACCATTTATTTCTTTCAGGTTTACACTCTGCCAAAGGCCAGTTTCACATGGAAAATCTCTGACGAAGCCTCTCCATGCACTCACTCTCATTGTCATCGAGTTGGTTCTGCGCCATAGCTGGACTTCCAAAGCTGTGAACTGAGTAGGAGGAGACGGCCCATTTTTCTCCCAAGAAGTGGCTGCTAGATTCAAACTGCCCGAGATGCAAAGCTTGTGCATTAGAAGCACAACTCTCTACAGACTATGGCACCTGAACTTCCTTTTCTGCTTACTGGTCAACTAACATGAAAAACTACACATTAGCCATTGACTATCAACTCTCTCCTCCCTGATAAGGGCATTGTCCTTAGAATATTCCTGACCTGGCAGTAAGAAATGATCACGCCTCCAAATATCATTATTCAGCCACTTTCTTTGCTGTTCAAAGTGTTTTCCCCACTCTGTGAGCAACAGAAGAGACAGTCAGTGAAATCTATGACCAGCAATCAAACTGAAGAATAACTCTCGATTTTCCATGAATCTTTCTTTCTCTCCTTGGGTACCAAGAACATCTTTTTGGTATTATAAATGAGCAGGAAGTGCCTTCAGAAGAAGGAATAAAAGAAATCACTGCTTCAGTCTCACTGCTGTTATAAAGAAAATGCTGGGGAAACACTCTCTGGGGGGGCGGATCATGGCTGGCTCGGGCCGTTTTGTCATTTTTTCCCTTCACACGTCCTCTGCTGGGACAGGAGTCCTTCTGTGTTCTTTCAAGATAGCTTCAAAGCTTCCAGGATGCTGCCCCTCAACAAAACACAGTCCACACTGCAAGATGTGGTGTTTTTTTAATTTCAAGGCTCCCTGGCTCTAGTCAAAGGGGCCCTTTTTCTTGACTACCTACCTCACCTTCGGCCCTTTAGATTCCAATCGGGGCTGTCATGATTATGCCAAGCCTGATTTAAACCTCTGCACACTTCTAAGCCACGGGCGTCACATCTGCTTCCAAATGCCTTGAAAAACATTAAACGACCCAGAAAGCCATTTCCTCCATGTGCTAACTGAAGAGATGGGTGTTGAGTTGGCATGTGACGCTATCCTGAGAAGTTGTAGACATTCTGAATGGAGAGGCAGTCTTATCAAGCCTTCCCTGTATTTTCTTATAGCTGGCATTTTTAAAAATGAGAAGGTCTATTGAAAGGATGCTTATTGGCTTGAATTTTACAAGCAGATACAAAGTGCTAGTTCTTTTAGCAGTACGACAGACATAAGTCACATGGTTATACAGCAAAACAGTGACGATAACTCATACTGTGGTTTGCTGTTGAGAAATCCAAATCTAAATCAAAACAGTACTCCCTCACCAAAAACGTACTGCATTCTGTTCAACCTGGAATTAGCCTTGCACTCGCAAGCGATGGCATTTTGCTTCCCAACTTAACTTGTGTCAGGCTGAAATATTTGCTCACAAATCAGCTTCCCAGAGCTCATCAGTTTATAATGAACTGTCCTGGCTCTTTTCTGAGAGAAGCTTGGCTGAAAATATTGGGAAGGGAGGCACTCCGCCTCACAGTTCCTTGATGATCACTGGGCTCGCTTTGCCTGTCCTCGTTAGTGGCTGTTTCATGGCACATTCCCCTTCAGGATGGGAAACTGACTCGGGCAAAATATGGCAAGTTTCTTCTAGGCCATTTGACTCCTTATTGCTTAAAATTATTGTTTCATTTTCTTTTTAAAAAAATAGAACAGAAAACAGCTTACAGTAAAAATGCCCTTACGTCAGTATGTGACGGCAATGCTAAAGAGTGAGGCTAATTCTTAATGATATTAAACGTAACTCTGAGTATATCTGCAGTCTTCGGGCTGCACACTCCACTTAGGCAGGAAGTAAAACAGAGCTCGGTGGCAGCTCTGAGACATACGAGAAGCCCTGGTTAGTATGAGGAGAGGCCTGATAAGTAGCACAGCTTTGATGCTTTTCAATTAAACGCTTGATAAATGAATTTCCCTGGGATTGCACTCGTTTCTTTAATAGCACCCACAAAACTGGAAAATGAGTTGGCTTTATGAAGTGGAAGAATTAAAAGCATATTGCAAATGGCCTCCAGAAGAAAACACATTCAATCACTGGTCTCAATGACACGAAGGTTGCCAGTTCCTAACAGCACTCTCGGGGCACTCACGGTGCTGGAAGCAGAGCCAGGCCTGTCCGCACTGCCTCTTCCCAAGCTGAGGAGCAAAGAGAAAGGGTGCAGGTTCCCATGGAATGGCGGCATCATTCACGTCTGGCTCTTGGTCCACCCACCAGGTCTCTTTCTTCCAGAGACATTAAAGCAAGGCAGTTGTGGTCAGCACTTATGTTCTGGCTAGCGTTCTGGTGGACAGGAGAGTTACAATGAGGAGACACCGGCAGTAGACCTTACACACCTCCAATAGACTGGCCACCTGATTCATGGTGGTGACACATTAATCTATCTGCGTGTTAGCAGACTCCCTCCGCGGTCCTCGCTGATAGTTCTCGTTAAGGGCTCTTGCCCTGTTCTCTTTATCGAACTTCAGAGTGTTGTGCCTTCGGCCCCTGGTTTGTGTCCTCAGATTTCTCACCTTGTCCTGTTAGTGAATACTCTCCCCTTCAGCTCCTCATTATTTTACAAGATGGCATGTTGGCAAAGAACTGTCAATGTTCTGGTTGCATTTGTGCTATCTCCTTTTAACAGAGGGCCTCATTAAAGGTACTCTGTGTCACCCGAGCTTTCTATGTCACCATTTACTTGATAAGAAAGAGCGGGAAAGAAGTGTGTGAAAGAGCGGGAAAGAAGTGTGTGCCCTGGCTTTCTCCAAGAGAGAAGTCCGAGGAATTTCGGGGTGGCTCTTATTAACCATCAAGTGTATTCTCAGAATAGAAGTGTCCCTTAGGGTCTCCTTTACAGGAACTGATACCTAATGAGGTCGTTCTCTGTAGGGGTGGGTAGGTTGGAATAAAGCCCCAAACCATAAAGTTCACACCTTTCAGTTTGCAACTGACTGCTTAACAGCTGCATCACCAGGGCTGCTTCTTAGTCTGTGAAAAATGTGCTCTCCGGAAGCCTCGACCATACTAAGAACTCATGCCTAAAAGCAGTGACCTCATACAAGAATTGCCCCAGAGAGAGGTTTTAATCCCCACTCAGCCAAGCATTTCACATTGATTCCTATTATAAGAACATTTTCATTTTGTTAGTGTATTGGAATCCCACTGATTTTTGGCTATGGATTTTGTATCCTGCCACTTACTAAATTGGCCTACTAGCTCTAACAGTTTTTTTTGTTGTTGAGGTTTTGTTTTGTTGGAATTTTCTGTGTACACTATCATATCATCTGCACATAGCAGCAGTTTAACCATCTCTTTGCTGATTGGGACGCCTTTTCTTTCCTTCTCTTGTCGTTCTGCCCTAGCAAGCATTTCCAATACAATAGTGAATGGAAGTTGTGAAGGTAGGCATCCTTGTCTTATCTGTGTTCACAAGGAAAATGCTTTTAGTCTTTCTCCATTGAACATGATATTGGCTTTTGGTTTTGCATCTATACTTTTCACTATGTTGAGGAAAATCCCTTCTATTCCAATTTTGCTGAGTGTCTTAACCAGAAAGGGGAATTGGATTTAGTCACATGCATTTTCTGTGTCAATTGCTAGGATAATATGGTTCTTGTTCTTTGCTTTGTTAATGTGGTGAATTATGTTGTTTTTCTCATGTTGAATCATCCCTGCATACTTGTTATGAATTCTACTTGGTCATATTGAGAACGCAAAGAAGGAAACCAAGAAAGCAATACCATTTCCAAGAGCTAATCAGATTTTGAGATACTTGGGAGTAAACCTAACGAGAGACACAAAAGAACTATACCAAGAAAACTACAGAACATTTTTTGGGAGACACAATCAAAGACCTAAATAAATGGAAAAATGTTCCCTATCCATGGACAGGAAGACTCAATATTGTGAAAATTACAATCCTACCAAAAGCAATCTACATGTTCAAAGCAATCTCAAAACAGATACCAAACTCATTTTTCAGGGAGATTGAAAGGGAAATTGTCAAGTTTATTTGGAAAGAGACCCCGAATAAGCAAAGCACTTCTGAAAAACAAAAATGAAGTGGGACGCATATCACTCCCTGATCTCAAAACCTACTTACTACACAGTGGTAGCAACCAAAACAGCATGATACGGGTACAGTAACAGACACAGAGACAAATGGAACAGAATTGAGAACCCAGAAACGGACTTAGCTAGCTATAATCAACTAATATTTGATAAGAAAAAAAACCTTATTAAATGGGGAAATGACAACCTCTTCAACAAATGGTGGTGGCAAAACTGGGCTACTACCCACAGAAAACTGAAACAGGATCCACGTCTCACGACATACACAAAATCAACTCAAGGTGGATCAGAGACCTTGGAATAAAGCCCCAAACCATGAAACTCATTAAGAGACAAACTGGGACCAAGCTTAGAAGGTCTAGTTTACACTATAAAGGGACTGCCAAATACAGCCAGAAATGTACAATCTGGAGAGGATAAAATTGATGAATAGGACCTTCTAAAGATTAAGTCTCTGTGTGCATCAAAAACTTTTTCCAACAGGGTGAAAAGAAAACCTTCTGACTGGGAACATTTGACAATACCATCTCAGACAAGGGTTTCATAACAAAAGTTTACAAAATACTCCTGGCCTTCTAAAAGGAAAAGACTGATACTCCAATTACAAAATGGGCAAGAGACATGGAAAGACTTTCCACAGAGGAGGACATTTGGATGGCCAAAAGACACATTAAGAAATGCTCTAAATCACTGGCAATAAGAGAGATGCAAATCAAAATCACAATTAGATACCATCTCACCCCAGTAGCAGTGGCAAAGTTTAGCATGGCAGCAAGTAATAAATGCTGAAAAGGGTGTGAAGAGCCAGGAACTTTTATACATTCTTAGTAGGATTGTAAAATGGTACAACCATTCTGGAAGGCAGTTTGGCGTTTCCTCAGAAAGCTGAACACAGAAATTCCATATGACCCAGCTATTCCACTGTTTGGAATATACCCTGAGAAAATGAGAACTGAGGCACAAACAGAGACTTGTACATCAATGTTCACAGCAGAATTATTCACCATCACAAGAACATGGAAACAGCCTAGATGTCCAACCACAATGGAATGGATTGAGAAAATATGGTATATTCACACAGTGGAATACCACGCAGCATACAAAAGCAATGATTTTAGGGACTGGAGAGCATTATGCTAGGTGAACTAACTCAGTCTCATAAAGACAAATACTGTATAAGACCATTATTGCAGAGTATGTATCAGGATCTAGGTAGGGGAGAGGGGTAGAGCTTAGTCACACAATTTGATGAGTGGAGGGAGGGGTCACTAAAGGAAAGGGGAAAGATCGGGTGTGAAAAACAATGTAGATGAAATTTGTAAGTAAACCAGAATTTAAAATAAAAAAGATTCACACGCAGAAAATAAACGACTCACAATGAAATGTGTTTAGTCCATGTATTAGTTTAGCCTATTCCACCAAAAGTAAAACATTTATCATGCCTATTAATATTCAATGATAATATTTCATTTTTATCACATCAGAAAGGCAACTGTTAGAAAAGTCTGTGTACACCTATGTTCATAGCAGTGTTATTCTAAATAGCAAGACAACGAAAACAGTCCAAAAGACCATCAATAAGTGAATGGATTAAAAAATTATTGAACAGCCACACAATGGAATAATACTATGTAGCACCACACTGGAATACTATGTAACACTAATGTGGGAGAGGCTAGAGAGCATTATGCTGAATGAACTAACTCACTCTCATAAAGACATATACAGCAGAAGACTCCTAGTGTAAAAATAAAAGGATAACTAGAAAAACTTGTATAAAAGTCCAAAAGGGGAAGGGGAAGGAACAAGAAGGTGAGAAATGGAAAAAATAACTAAGACAGCAGAGTTTGGTGTATCTGTGTGTGGGTGAATTAGGGAAGATTCATGGGGACCTGAAAAGATGGGGTAAATAGGAAGCATAGATCAATGGTAATTGATTTTATAAAACACAATGTACATGAATGATCGAATGGGACACGACGTATATGAATTTTGTATACAAATCAATACAAAAATAAAATAAAGGAAAAGTAAAAAAAGAACATTTTCATTGTCTTTGAATGGGGAGGAGGAGGCAAGGGGACATACTGAGTTAGGACTCATGTACCTTTTCTTTGAGATCCTCCAACATTTTTTCCACCTGCAACTTGTCATCTTTGATTTTTTCAAGTTCTGCTTCTTTCTTTTTGTATTCATCTTGGATTTTGAGTAAATGCTACAAGAAAGACCAAAAGCAATCAAGCCACCACTGAAGGAGCTACACGTCACTTTAAAAATTCCAGCTAAGTCTAGATAATAAGGTGCCCTGTTTCCCTTTCCCCCAGCATACCCCATCATTCCTCTATGCAGAGATACTAGAGGAAAAGTGAAGACATTTTCCAGCTAACATTATTTTATCTGGCTCTTATGAACTTTCTGTGAACCTGCAAATATTTTAAAAAGGGCTGGAGAAACGGATTAAGTCACTTCTTCCCTATTCTGGTCAGTAGTGTGCGGTTAATACTGTTGTGGGCAGAAGTGGGTTTAATGTTGCTGGCAAGTCATTTAGCAAGTCAAGTTCACTTTCTGTGAGAAAAGTGGTAACGAATACAAATTTTACATGCTAGTTTCTATATCTTATCCATCATTATCAGTAATGATAATAAATATTCTTTCTTGAGCAGCTAATGTGTACCAAGCATTGTCTAAAGTATTTTATGTACATGATCTCATTTAAGTCTCACAATAAACTGATGAGGCTTATTAAACAATTATCCTTGATTCTTAGAGGTAAGTGACTTGCTTAAGGCCATTCAGATATGTGACAGAGATGAGGTTTAAACCCAGGCCTTCATGAGAGCTCATGCTCCCAACCACCATTATTACATTCTTTTTGAGAATAGATGGCAGAAATGTTACCATTGTTTGCAAGGCTGTTTTTCAATAAAACAAACAAGTGAAATCAATTCTTCACAAGGTAGAAAGACTTGTCTCACTGAAATCTTTATAATGATGAAACAAAAGTTCCATCACGTTGAGTCTGCACTGAAGAAACTGAACTACACTTATGTGGAGTGCTTTCAAAATCAAGGCGAGAGGTGAACAAAACAGAAACAAAATACTTCTAAAGTCTTGCTTTCCAGAGGCTCACAAAAAAAGACAAAAGAGCATACAATGATGTATAGTGTCAATGTGTTCTGATTGTACAGTTGAAGAGATTCTTTTGGATTTTTTGACGAAAGGCTCTCTAACGTAATTGACATGCTTTAGTTAAACTTCATGGTTGAAGTGCAAGGGAGGTAAGCATTACTTCACATTTTGCTATTAAAAAAGTAATTCATCAATAAAAAAGTAACCTATTACTAGACCCCCAGATGAGATGGATTGATATAGTAACTGGAATAATAAGGGTACCGTGTATTGGAGTCAGTGAGACTGGCTCAGGACATGGCAGGCTTCAGAGCTGTTGTACATAGGGTCGCTATGGGTCAACTTGATGGCACATAACAGCAACAACAATGGTCACAAAAGTGGCAGAAGTATGAGGTTTCTAAGTACCAGAAATGACTCCCTGTTCATAATCTGTAATTTCCCACCAGCAACTAGCTTTTCCCTAGATAATTTCAAAGTGCGTTGTTCACAATTATTGCACAATTTAAGTTTAAAGGAGAATGGCTGGTACAGTGGCTTAGTGGCCTGCATTCTTACTGCACCTTTTTTTTACTGTACTTTACTGTAGTGAGTGCAGACACTGGGATCATCTAAACTGTACGTTCACTGTGGTGATGGCAATGTCAGACTTCTAGTTACTGTGCATCTGTTATGCAATTTCTGTATTTGAATGCAACTGGAAACAGGATATACTTCTTTTTAGGGCTTGGAATTATTTTCAGGGAAATTAATCTGCACAAATGATTGTGAAACGGAAAGAAAAACAAATCTATCTGTCTTATATACTCAAAGCATTGACACTTGAAAACATTCATAAAACCAGCTTCCAGATGGCTCTAAAAGGGACCCTGGATGGAGTGGGAGAAAAATATTGAACAAAATGCAAAATCATAAAAATGATCAGGCTTGCTGTTCAAATCTAACAGAGTGGTGGAATTCTCAAGCTCATGGCTCTTAATAGCCCTTTGAGCCTTGAACTAAATTTACCACTGTAGCTCTATTTTCGGCCAAATAACAGAGAAGTTTGTAAGGTGAGCAGTAACACTGGGGAGGTAATAAATTCTTAGAGAAATCAATCATTCAAGATCAAAAGGGTGGTATTTGCCTAGAAATAAAGTTCAGAAGGCAGGAAGAGACAGGATGAATGGGAATGAGATTCATAGGGAGGATGTGGGAACAAAATGTTATTCTTGTTGTTATGTGCCAGTGAGTTGCCTGCGACTCATAGTGACCCTATGTACAACAGCCCAAAACCCTGCTCTATCCCTCGCCAATCTTATTATCTCTGACACACCTATCCCCATTACCCAGTCACTGAATCAATAGTAATTAATGCCATAAACAAAACCTGTATGAATCATTGAGTGGACAATTGCTCTGTAAACTTTCACTTAAAACATAATAAAACATTTTTGAAAACTCAAAACACAGCTCCTACCCAATCAAGGGCATGGTCTCCTCCATGCCTTCTAAAAGGCTGTATTGTATACAGAATTCTGTCAACAGGATCCTTATTGTCTAGCACTTCCCTCTATCTAAGTACCTGAGGTTCTTCCTATAGACCCTAAAGTCTTGTCTGGATCCTGAACTAGTTTCCAAAGTAGAAGGTTAGCTTATGTTTCTTATAGCTTCAGTGTTAAATATTTTTCACTGAATGCTCTTTCTTTCAAAATTGGTGATCTAGTGCTTTCTACATTTCAACAGGACTATTTCATTAACCATGCCACACAATCAACCCCTTCTTCAGCTCTATCAGGCAACAGCATATGGTTTGTAAAATTTCTAGAGTTTTTCCAAAATTTATTCATTACTGCACATTTTCCCCCTTCTGTACCCCCAAAATGCCCTCCTTATTCCAAACTGGTCTCGTACATATAAGATATAATCATATATCCCTTTCAAACTGTTCTTCCCTCATCTGTTCCAATTCGGTGTTCATGATCTATTCAAAATCATGGTACAGCCACACAGTGGAATATTAGGCAACAGAATATCTTGATGAATAAGAGGTGTGGTATGCTTGCTGTTTGCCCTGTTGCCATCAAGCAGTTATGACTCATAGAACCTTTTGAGACAAAGTAAGGCTGCCCCGTAGAGAAGAGCTTTAATCTTCACAGACGCATCCTGCCACAAAGCACATCTTTCTTCTGCAGAGCAGCTGGTGCGTTAGAGCTGCTGTCTTTTCAGCTAGCAACCATATCCTTGGCCATTGTGACACCCAGGAAGAACCCTTTTATACTGGCGAGGTACTGATAACATCCTTCCAAAAGCTCAGAAAATGAAAATGCCTTTACCTGTTGCATCCCTTGCAGGGCTTGCTGCAAGAGTTTCAGCTGTTGTTCCTTGTTTGGGTCCTCTTCCCTGTGGGCTTTGCCCTGTTCTTGCTTGAGCAGCTCGACCTCATTCCGATAGGCATCAAGCTGCCAGCGGAGGCTGTCATTTTCTTCCTTCAGAGCTTCCGCCTGTGACACTAAACCTAAATAATCAATGTAAAAGAGTGAAACAATCTATTTAGATTCCTTTGTAGAAGGAAGCACGCAAGGTTGGTACTTTAAATGAAAATGGATAGAAAATGAAAATGGATAATATGGCCTCTACATGAGATCTTTAAGTCTAACTTTGGCCATGGATATGAGAGATGGACAGAAAAGCACACAGACACATTTCTGTAAATGTACACCAGATTCTAATACAGAAAATTCCTTATTACAATTTTGTTTTGCACTTCAAATATAACTAACAAATTTTTAGGTAACATTGGGGACTTTTATTAGAAATTTGGCAAATGATAGTACATCCTGTAGTAACAAATTTAAGGGCTATTTGTCATAAACTTACCAAAAAAAATACCCCCAAAAACCAAAAAAACCACTCCAAACAAACAAAAAACCCCAACCCCAAAGAACTAGCCATTGTGCTGCTGACAGCTATTTTAAAAGAATATACTTAGAACTAGTAATCCAAAGGCCAGGAAAATGTAAAAAAGAAGATCTAAGGTCAAAAATCAAATACTCATGTGCAAGTTCAAACTGAATCAGAAGAAAATTAAAAACGCACAAGAATAAAAATATGACCTTAAGTCTATCCCACCTGATTCTTTCGAAGAGGGTAATTATGGGGTCACACAGTTTGATGGATGGAGGGGAGGATCAAGTGTGAGGTATATGAACTTTGTAGGTAAACCACGGTAAATTTTTTTTTAAAAAAAAGAATTGCAAGAAATTAAAGGAAAAAAATCTCAAGAAAAGGTTTGAAGCATTGATCACCAATGATTTAACACCAGATAAGTTGTGAGGTAACATTATGAATAAAGCAAAAGGTCATTATAATGACATGGGAGAAAGAAAATATCAAAATGGATGTCAGAACAGACTCTGAAACTTGCACTGAAAAGAAAGCAAGCCAAAATAGGGGAAGGAAATGTGGAGGTAAGAAAGCTGAATTGGAGATTTCAAAGGCAGCTTGAGAAGACAAAGCAAAGTCTTACAATGAAATGTGCAAGGAACTGGGATTAGAAAACCAAAAAGGAAAAACATGCTTAGCATTTCCCAAGCTGAAAGAACTGAGAAATTCAAACCTTGAGTTACAATACTGAAGAATGATCCAGGAAGGATTAAAAGGATTAAAACAAAAAACCATCCCAAAAAGAACTGGTTGACATGGAACCATTTTAGGAAATAGAATACAATCAAGAACCAACAGTAATAAAAGAAGAAGTTCAAGTTGAATTGAAGGCATTATAATAAGGCCCCAGGAATTGATGGAATACCAGTTGACACGTTTCAACAAACAGATGCACCCCTGGATATGCTCACTAGGTTGAGCCAAGAAATATGGCCAACTGACTGGAAGAGATCCATATTTGACCCCATTCTCCAAAAAGCTAATCCAATAAAATATAGAAATTACCAACCAGTTTTATTAATATCACATGCATGCAAAATATTGGTGAAGATTATTTTTTAAAAGGCTAGAATAGTACATTGACAGAACTGCAAGAAATTAAAACTGGATTTAGAAGAGGCCACGGCACCATCAATATCACTGCTGATATCATCAGTTGGATCATGGCTGAATGCAGAGAATACTAGAAGGATGTCTAATTGTGTTTTATTGACTGTGCAAAGGCATATGACTGTGTGGATCACAACAAATTATGGCTAACATTGAAAATAATTAATAGGGATCCCAAAACTCTTAACTGTGCTTGTGCAAAACTTATATCTAGACCAAGAAATTGTCCAAACAGAACAAGGGGACACTGCATGGTTTAAAATTTAAAAAGATATGCATAAAGGTTTTGTCGTTTTTCTATCACTCTTTATGCTGAGCAAATAATTTGAGAAGCTGGCCTCTATGAAGAATAAGGCATCAGGAATGGAGGAAAACTCAACAACCTGCATTACACCGATGACACACTTTTTTTTTTCGACTAAAGGTTATTTTTATTTTTTCTGTAGCGGAGGTGAAACGTGTAGGAGACACACTTCTGGGTATGGCTACACAGTGTGTTCAAGTCAAGAAGACACACTCTTGCTTATCAAAAGTGAGGAGGACTAGAAATGCTTGCTGAATATCAAAGATTACAGTCTTCAATTTGGATTGCATCTCATCATCAAGACTAACATCCTCACCACTAGGTCAAAAGGCGACATCATAATAGATGGAGAAAAGATTGAAATTGTCAACAATTTCATCTAACTTGAATCCATAATCAGCACACTTGGTACCAGGAGATAAGGAGACATATTGCATTGGAAGAGTCTGCTGTAAGGGACCTCTCCAAAGTTATAAAAAGCACTCATATAAGTTTAAAGACTAAGGTGCACCTGATCTGAGCTATGCTCTTTTCAAACACTTGCTATGCTTTTGAAAGCTGGACAATAATAAGGGTGGCACAAGAATTGATGCCTTTGCATTGTGTTGGAGAAGAATATGGAATATAACACGGACTGCTAAAAGAACAAACAGATATGTCATGGAGAACGTGCAACCAGAGTGTTCCTTAGAGGCAAGGATGGCGAAACTTTGTCTCACATATTTTGGACATGTTGTCAGGAGGGACCAGTCCCTGGAAAAAAGACATCATGCTGGGTAAGAGCAGAGAAACAGAGAAAGACACTCAACAAGATGGACCGTCACAGTGACTATATAACAATTGGCTGAAATATATCAAGAGGTGGTGAAGATGGCACAGGATAGGGCGGGGTTCAGACGGTTCATAATGTTGCCATCAACTCCATGGCTCCTAACAACAACAACAATGCAAAGCAGGGGGTAGCCATGTTAAAGGGTTCTGAAGAGGAATGTCTTTTAGGAGTGTTGAGACATTTTCTCAATGCCCCAATTTTTCCTCTGTGGATGGTCATACAATTAGACTGATCTGGCAGTTTTAAACTTCTCATTCTAGCTCAGGAAAATTACAAAAGGGTTTTGGCATGGCACATTCCATTTTTGTTTGGTTTCATTATGGTTTTGAATTCTTGCTGTAATCACATTGATTTTGTGTCTGGGAAGTGAAAGTCTTTATGCAGAGACACGCATTCCCAGTGACTTGGATTCTCAGCCTTCCAAACAATCTCTAGCCTTGACATCTCTCCCAGTTGATGGGCTACCTCCTGACAGACATAGTGTTCTCTATAGCCCCACCACCAGAAGAGATGCTATGCTGTTGGAGAAGGGGATGATGGAATACTGAAAACGTGTGCGGAAGGGGCCATTAACTGTCTGTCAAGTACAGGGAGAAATATTTGGTTTGCTTACTGGGTCACCAAGGACACATCTTAAGCGGCCATTCTGCGGAATAGCACACGGGTTACCCTCTAAATTGAGTGACTCCCACGCACGGACAGTTATTTATCTCTGCGTTGGTTTGCATGACTGTCCTCTGGCAGTCCACACAGCTCTATGGAAAAAGTGCTGGTGCATTTCCATCCTCTTGTTTCTCCTTGCACCGCAGACCAGAAATTATGTTCATGCTCTAGAAGCCACGTGTTAAACATACATAGAAGAGAAAAGGGCAGGGACCTAGGAGACTAGCTAGAAGCGGGTTCTTCAGTGTAAAAGTGAAAATATTTTCCTTCTGAGAATACAAGGAGAGGCGTCTTCTCTCCTGGGGGAAAGGACATGCTGATGAGCAGAGATGGGTCCCTGCAGCCATGTGCCAGCACCATCACCTCCTCAGTCTGGACCTGTCACTATGTGAAAGAAACCATGATCTCTTATAATGCTAGTGAAGGGACCTTCCTTACAATATGCATTTCCTAGTATCTGCAATGAAAGTTTTTGTCATTTTAATGAGGGCACCAAGTCTTTACTTTCACAGCCTTAATATTAATTGGGCTCATTTCTGAAGTTGGCTTGCTCTGTACATTGGCAGAACAGTGAAAAGTTCAATATTACTTTTAATAATATGTTTGAGCAGGTGAATCCATCAGTCAGGGTGCTAAAGAGCACAGTACAGTGAATGCATTCATACCCTGCCATCATTAGTTCTCAGACTATTTCCTATGTGGGAAGAACGTTTCTCTTTATGGGGCTCGCTCCTCAGATCTGAAGGCTGCTGGTTCATCATGGCAGTGTGAATGCTCGCAGGCAGCTGTGTATGCCTCCTTTTACAGGAGCCACTAGGAGCAAAATGCCAGACATGTTTTTCTATGGCAAAAGATCAAAAAGGATTTCATGCCATTAAAAAAAAAATAATAATAATAATGCCTACCTAGATCTCTTCAGTGGTATAAAGAAAATAACCAAGTTAATTAATGGAAGTAAATTCAAGGAGTCAGCCACTCTTACATAGTTGTATATAGGAGATGCTTAAAATTATTAGAAAGTCATAGGTGGAAGAATCTGTGCCATTTCCCTCCAGGCTCATAACAAAGTCTAAGCTAATGATTTATGAAAGGGGAAAAACCAGAAAGAACAAGGGCTGGGATGGAGAGAGATGATATGAGTACCACCTAATAGGACTGGGTGCAGGCCAGTTTGGACAAAATCTCAAGTAGTTTGCATGACCTTTCTTTTCTTGCCTCTGCAGGCTTTAGGAAGCTAGGTTCATAGGGTCACTATAGGTCAAGGTTGGCTTGACGGCACCCAACAACAACATGGTGGCTTAGTGGTAAGAAGTAGGACTTCAACTCAAAGGTAGTTGGTGTGAATCCACCAGCAGCTCTATGGAAGAAAGAGGAGAAATCTCCTTCTATGTGATTTAAACCCTCTGAAAAGGCACTGGAGGGTAAGCTATGAGTTGGTTCTGACTCTATGGCACATAACAACAACAATAACAACAGATTATTATCTTTACTTCTGTCACGCTTTGTTAGCCTGTACGTAACTGGGATTTTTATTATCTTCCCATCCAGGTCACAAAATTCCCTTCTCTCACTCTTTAGCACCCTGGCCTAACCTTTACCATCCCCCAGCTCAATTCCTATAAAGGTCTCTTACTGGTCTCTCGTACTGTAAACTTATTCTCTA